TAACCCCAAAAATGAAATTAACTAGAGGCAGTTAAATTAACCTGTATGAGCTTCCTTCCTGAGTTTGGATGTTAGCTCTATTTTACGTCAGAAGTTGTAGATGTATTGACGGTGACACAGTCCTTGTTGATCATCCACAGTCTGCTATGACTCAAACAGGATGTTAACTAGGCAGTGCTCCATGATTCTGAGGAATGGTTGTAAGTGTCGATCCTGTTGAAAGTGGGTTGTTTAGTACTGTAAGGCTCAGTCATGAATGGAAGGCCAACCATTAAAATGATGTCTGGAACTTTTGTATAATTTCATCCAGTAGTTTTGAAAGTCACGAGCCAAAAGAGGTCCCTGTTTTTGTGCACTACAGTACTTCATCCAATTGTGTACTACATCATCTATTTCGTATGATATATTACGTCCTGCATTTCTTTAAATACAATGTATGTTTTTTAGCAATTTCATATGGTATGTTAAAAATACAATTCGAACAGATCCCGGACTGCATCCCGAACTGCATTCCCAGCGGGAATGTAATTAGTATAATTTAAAAATCCTCATGAAAATCTGTCAGTTTAAGCTAGAGATAAGTTTTTTTGCATTGGATGCATCTCAATCCACCGCATCCACCTACAGTATATGGAGACTGTTTAGTGCCAAAAATAAGGGTTAAATACATACAGTACCAGTCAAGGTTTGGACACACCTACTCATTCCAGGGTTTTTCTTTATTTTTACTATTTTCTACTTTGAAGAATAATAGTGAAGACATCAAAACTATGAAATAACACATATGGAATCATGTAGTAACCTAAAAAGTATTAATCAAATTAGATTTTAGTTTCTTCAAAGTAGCCACCCTTTGCCTTGATGACAGATTTGCACACTCTTGGCATTCTCTCAACCAGCTTCATGAGGTAGTCACCTGGAATGCATTTCAATTAACAGGTATGCCTTGTTAAAAGTTAATTTGTGGAATTTATTTCCTTCTTAATGCATTTGAGCCAATCAGTTGTGTTGTGAGAAAATAGCCCTATTTGATAAAAGACCAAGTCCATATTATGGCAAGAACAGTGAAAAGTGAAATGACAGTCCATATTTACTTCAAGACATGAAGGTCAGTCAATTTGGAAAATGTCAAGAACATTTAAAATTTTTCAAGTCCAGTCGCAAAACCATCAAGTGCTATGATGAAACTGGCTCTCATGATTACCGCCACAGGAAAGGAAGACCCAGAGTTACCTCTGCTGCAGATTATATGTTAATTAGAGTTACCTGTACCTCAGATTGCATCCCAAATAAATGCTTCACAGAGTTCAAATAACAGACACATCTCAACATCAACTGAATCAGGCCTTAATGGTCGAATAGCTGCAAAGAAACCACTACTAAAGGACACCAATAAGAAGAAGAGACATGCTTGGGCCAAGACACACAAGCAATGGACATTAGACGGGTGAAAATCTGTCCTTTGTGAGATACAGAGTAGGTGAACGGATGATCTCCGCATGAGTGGTTCCCACCATGAAGCATGGAGGAGGAGGTGTGATGGTGTGGGGGTGCTTTGCTGATGACACTGTCAGTGATTTATTTAGAATTCAAGGCACACTTAACCAGCATGGCTACCACAGCATTCTGCAACGATACGCCATCCCATCTGGTTTGCGCTTATGGGACTATCATTTGTTTTTCAACAGGACAGTGACCCAAAACACACCTCAAGGCTCTGTAAGGGCTATTTGACCAATACGGAGAGTGATGGAGTGCTGCATCAGATGACGTTGGACCGCAGAGTGAAGGAAAAGTAGCCAACAAGTGCTCAGCATATGTGGGAACTCCTTCAAGACTGTTGGAAAAGCATTCCTCATGAAGCTGGTTGAGAGAATGCCAAGAGTGTGCAAAGCTGTCATCAAGGCAAAGGGTGGCTACTTTGAAGAATCTCAAGTATAAAATACATTTTGATTTGTTTAACACTTTTTTGGTTACTACATGATTCCATGTGTTATTTCATAGTTTTGATGTCTTCACTATTATTCTAAAATGTAGAAAATAGTACAAATAAAGAAAAACCCTTGAATGAGTAGGTGTGTCCAAACTTTTGACTGGTATGGATATATAAACAAACAAAGAATCCTGATCTTACTTATATCTCTCAGATATAGGACAGACACTTCATAACAAACTTCCATTAGATTTTCTGGGGGGACTATCTGTTGTTCCATATAGTGAATCTGTTATTCAATGCATTTGTATGGGCTAATAGCAGTAAGGCCAAATAAAAATGTTCATCAAATCATTTTTTAAATTTAATTAAAATTATACTTCAAGGGGTCTTAAAATTCAAAATCAAATAGCAAAATTATCATTTGTATGACCTTCTTAAACCAATTCCATATAGCTTAGAAGAACCCCCATTATCTATAAAAGAATTAATCAGTGTAGCACTCCATCCATAGTTCCCCCTTTTTCATACCAACCCTTGGTTGTTTGACAGAAGACCCCCGCCCACTCTCTCCGACCCTCTCACCCTCACAGTCGAATATGCCAGCTGCTAGTAGCCTTTGATTTCATCATGCCCCAGATCTGCACTATAATGAGCGTGCAGGCCAATCAATAATTCACTTGAGTTTGAATAAAAACAGGGTGATCAGCATGTGTGTAAAAAGAGGAGTGTAATCAGTGGCATTCAGGGGCCTGCATTCTACAGTTATCCACCACACTCTTCCTCTATCTGTCTCTTTTCTGCGAATGAGATGACGACTGACTGCCATTCCCGAGCAATCTGTAAATTCTATTCAAAGGTTTGATTGCTCCATTTGCCTCCATGTATGGACATATGAAAGTCATGATTAAAATTCAGCAGTGTCTGTTTCATCCATTCACATTGTCAGTAACAGCACAAAGCTGAACGGTGTTTTGGATTTCTGAGGCATCTTATTCTAATTCCATTGTTGCTTACATGCCACACATATTATGAGACCAAAGTCTGCCAAATATGCCTATGACATCGCTGCATCAGTGCATATGGACACAAGAGATTTCAATTTCACAGGAGAGAAAAGGAAAAAAAACTGAAACCATTCACCTTACCTGTCCTTCACAAAGCTGTATTGTGTTTGAAGAAATATCCCTGTCCTTGGCTTGCACAGGTATTATTAAAAAAGAGAGAACAGGCAGTTTTACACATACAGTGGGGGAAAAAAGTATTTAGTCAGCCACCAATTGTGCAAGTTTTCCCACTTAAAAAGATGAGAGAGGCCTGTAATTTTCATCATAGGTACACGTCAACTATGACAGACAAATTGAGATTTTTTTTCTCCAGAAAATCACATTGTAGGATTTTTAATAATTTATTTGCAAATTATGGTGGAAAATAAGTATTTGGTCACCTACAAACAAGCAAGATTTTTCTGGCTCTCACAGACCTGTAACTTCTTCTTTAAGAGGCTCCTCTGTCCTCCACTCGTTACCTGTATTAATGGCACCTGTTTGAACTTGTTGTCAGTATAAAAGACACCTGTCCACAACCTCAAACAGTCACACTCCAAACTCCACTATGGCCAAGACCAAAGAGCTGTCAAAGGACACCAGAAACAAAATTGTAGACCTGCACCAGGCTGGGAAGACTGAATCTGCAATAGGGAAGCAGCTTGGTTAGAAGAAATCAACTGTGGGAGCAATTATTAGGAAATGGAAGACATACAAGACCACTGATAATCTCCCTCGATCTGGGGCTCCACGCAAGATCTCACCCCATGGGGTCAAAATGATCACAAGAACGGTGAGCAAAAATCCCAGAACTACACGGGGGGACCTAGTGAATGACCTGCAGAGAGCTGGGACCAAAGTAACAAAGCCTACCATCAGTAACACACTACGCCGCCAGGGACTCAAATCCTGCAGTGCCAGATGTGTCCCCCTGCTTAAGCCAGTACATGTTCAGGCCCGTCTGAAGTTTGCTAGAGTACATTTGGATGATCCAGAAGAGGATTGGGAGAATGTCATATGGTCAGATGAAACCAAAATATAACTTTTTGGTAAAAACTCAACTCGTCGTGTTTGGAGGACAAAGAATGCTGAGTTGCATCCAAAGAACACCATACCTACTGTGAAGCATGGGGGTGGAAACATCATGCTTTGGGGCTGTTTTTCTGCAAAGGGACCAGGACGACTGATTTGTGTAAAGGAAAGAATGAATGGGGCCATGTATCGTGAGATTTTGAGTGAAAACCTCCTTCCATCAAGGGCATTGAAGATTTAACGTGGCTGGGTCTTTCAGCATGACAATGATCCCAAACACACCGCCCGGGCAACGAAGGAGTGGCTTCGTAAGAAGCATTTCAAGGTCCTGGAGTGGCCTAGCCAGTCTCCAGATCTCAACCCCATAGAACATCTTTGGAGGGAGTTGAAAGTCCGTGTTGCCCAGCGACAGCCCCAAAACATCACTGCTCTAGAGGAGATCTGCATGGAGGAATGGGCCAAAATACCAGCAACAGTGTGTGAAAACCTTGTGAAGACTTACAGAAAACGTTTGACCTGTGTCATTGCCAACAAAGGGTATATAACAAACTATTGAGAAACTTTTGTTATTGACCAAATACTTATTTTGCACCATAATTTGCAAATAAATTCATTAAAAATCCTACAATGTGATTTTATGGATTTTTTTTCTCATTTTGTCTGTCATAGTTGACGTGTACCTATGATGAAAATTACAGGCCTCTCTCATCTTTTTAAGTGGGAGAACTTGCACAATTGGTGGCTGACTAAGTACTTTTTTCCCCCACTGTAGTCACACAGATGCAGAGCTCACCTTATATGAACCTTCTTAAGTCCAAGACATGTCTTCTTTCAATCCAATGGACAAGTCTGAGGCTTGACCAATACATTCATCAGTGAACATATGACACTCTGACTTGAAAACAACAGTTGTTGTTGTATACATGTATATGCCATTACATGTTTATAACATAGCTACAACATAATGCCTTGCTGTTTTCCCTCCAGTTCCTCCTGAGGACCCAGTAATCAGTGGTGGTCCGGTGGTGAGCCTGAGAGCAGGAGATCCCCTAAACCTGACCTGCCATGCTGACAACGCCAAGCCAGCCGCATCCATCATCTGGATCCGCAATGGAGAGGTACTCAGTGGAGCCATGTACTCCAAGGTAAGCATCGTGGTGTGTAATACACAGTTTGTTTTTTAAAGGTGGAGGGAGGGCTGGGGTTTTTGAGGGGGTTGTTTAGACAGTTACCCATTCCCATAGATAGAAAGCAAAAGACCTCAATCATTATCACCGGCAAAGTGAACCAAACAATATTTTACTCTATGTAATAGCTTATGTCACTCATCAAATTCCAGTTGAAGCTAGTCAATCCTTTCCTTGAAGTTTGTTGTGAATAGCCACTTTAAGAGCACTACCATCTGTGACGGGTGTTTACTTGTGCCATCTGTAAACTGTGCCTCAGCATTCAGCCTGGATTGGTTGGAATAAAATCCCCTGAAAATCCAAGGTCTTCTCTGGGATATCTAAAGGATGTTTCTCCTCTACTCAAACAACCAGATGGTGGGACCATAAGAATGAAAGTCGGTGACTCTCCAGCACCTTTGCTGTCTACTAGGTGCCCTGCTTCTCTCTTTTCAGTGGCAGGGTTCATATAGAGATCCAGGGTATATATAGAGATCCAGGGTTCATATAGAGATCCAGGGTGTATATAGAGATCCAGGGTCTATAAAGAGTTCCAGGGTCTATATAGAGATCCAGGGTCTATATAGAGATCCAGGGTCTATATAGAGATCCAGGGTCTATATAGAGATCAAGGGTCTATAAGGAGATCGAGAGTCCATATAGAGATCCGTTCGGTCACTTCTCTGTTGGAGAAGCCGTCCCTGATCTGTGGTATTCACAGAAGATGCTCTGCCAACCAACCCTAGCCTTCAACTCAACATTCATTCCACCACACGTCATGCCACACCACACTGCCATCTGACCCCTCTGGCACTTCAATTACAATAACCTGCGGGCTAATGAACGCCGCTGTGTGAATTTCTTTATAAACGAGGAGAGTGAGCGGGCACCAACTCTCTCTCTGCTGTCTCATTCCATTATCAGCTATTTCCAAAGAGCAGATCAATTCTATTGATTGTGCTGGGATACGGCTCAATCCATTTGAATAAAACGATTGCCAGAGGTGGTTTTTGCTAACAGTAGGGGGATAGCGTGCTTCCTGCCTGCACTTCCTCTTTCTGAAACAGCAGCAGCAGTGATGTGGGACATTGTCGCCCAGCTGATGGATAGAAGCAGCAGCTGAGCCATGCAGTCTCTAGGCACTGCCCTCCCCTCATATCACTACCATTAAAAAGAAATGCGTTCAATTAAAAGCGGATGATTGTCTCCTGAATAATGGAGGTTTAGAGAGGATAATTGGCCATCCTGCCTCACCTCGGTACCTTGCCTCGCTCCACACCCCACAGATGATGGGAGGTAATGTGGCCAAATGTGCTAGAGTGAGATGGGAGTTTCCTGATGATGGCAACCTCTACACTCCCAGGATGGCTTTGACCCCTATAGGTCTCAGAATCACCTCCCTCAATATCCTTATGGATAAATTATCTACCATTTATCTTTCATTAAGGTGTTACTTTGTGGTAAGTACTTGGACCTGGTATGGTCTTACTGTATGAAGCAGTCATTAAAAAGATCTGGTTATACTGCATGTGAATGGCATTGAGTATGGGCTGGACCTGGTAGCTACGGATGAACAGTGCCTTGCAAAAGTATTCATCCCCCTTACCAGTTTTCCTATTTTGTTGCATTACAACTTGTAATTTAAATTGATTTTTATTTGAATTTCATGTAATGGACATACACAAAATAGTCCAAATTGGTGAAGTAAAAAAATATATATACTTTTTTTAAAAAATTTGAAACAATAAATAACGGAAAAGTGGTGCGTGCATATGTATTCACCCCCTTTGCTATGAAGCCCCTAAATAAGATCTGGTGCAACCAATTACCTTCAGAAGTCACATAATTAGTTAAATAAAGTCCACCTGTGTGCAATCTAAGTATCACATGATCTGTCACATGATCTCAGTATATATACACCTGTTCTGAAAGGCCCCAGAGTCTGCAACACCACTAAGCAAGGGGCACCACCAAGCAAGCGGCACCATGAAGACCAAGGAGCTCTCCAAACAGGTCAGGGACAAAGTTGTGGAGAAGTAAAGATCAGGGTTGGGTTATAAAAAAATATCTGAAACTTTGAACATCCCACGGAGCACCATCAAATTCATTTTTAAAAATGGAAAGAATATGGCCATCCAACTTGAAGGAGCTGGAGCAGTTTTGCCTTGAAGAATGGGCAAAAATCCCAGTGGCTGGATGTGCCAAGCTTATAGAGACATATCCCAAGAGACTTGCAGCTGTAATTGCTGCAAAAGGTGGCTCTACAAAGTATTGACTTGGGGGAGGGGGGGTGAATAGTTATGCACGCTCAAGTTTTCTGTTTTTTTGTCTTATTTCTTGTTTGTTTCACATTAAAAAATATTTTGCATCTTCAAAGTGGTAGGCATATTGTGTAAATCAAATGATACAACCCCCCCAAAAATCAATTAAATTAAATTAGGAAAAATGCAAAGGGGGGTGAATGCTTTCGCAAGCCACTGAGGAGGCCTAGTAGAAGCTTCAGATCATGAAAACATATCGAAACCCTAACAGTCCCATTATTGGTTCGATTCCCACGGGGGACCAGTGCGAAGAAAGTATGAAAATGAATGCACTCACTACTGTATGTTGCTCTGGATAAGAATGTCTACTAAATGACTAAAATGTATAATGTAAATATAAATGTAAACCACATTTCAGTCAGCTCCTCATGGATGAACTGATGAAAATACACAAGGGGTGTCACTGTAGGAACAGCCACAGGGAATCCATTACTCTGTGAAGCATTCAAATGCATGACACCAGAAAGGAAGATCTGCATATTGTCCCTGCTCATTCCTCCCCCACAAACCTTCAAAGACGCTTCTTTATCTGTCTTTCAATTTCATTATTTTCCTCCCAACCTTCATCTCAGCAAAGTTTGCTGTGTAATTAGAGAGATTTCCTTTCAATAGTAATGCTCACCACCAAGTGAGGCAGGGGGAAATCATTCCGGGAAAAAGTAGCTAATTAACTTCAGAGAATGTATTATACATGTCACATTTTTCACATTCAAGAGACAGGTAGAGTTCCCAGTAGTTTATCTGCATATTATTCTATAATACCCCCTATTTTTCCAGTATTTCCATATTACTCACTACATTTAACCTGTTTCAAATTATTCAAAAAGTATCTGTCTCTCGCTCTTCCATTGTTTTTCTCTCTTGTCAATGTAATTAACCTCACTGGCTTTGTGCAAGAGAAATTTAAACCAGGCCTTGGGAGCACTAAAATAGTAATATTATGAATATTATTAAACAGAATGGTAGAAAGGATCTGACTTTCAGGTAGTAGGATAAGATAAGTTAATCAAATAAGGCCTCTTTAACCCCATGACCAGAAAAAATGATGTAAATATATTATTTTGTAGAAATAGATAGTACAAAGCTTATGCAAAATATCTTATTCCTAAGTGAAATTAATATCCAGTGTTGGGATTTGAAATGTGCTTCTGGTGTGGTCTGCAATTAAAAAATTGCTGATTTAATTTAACCTGGAGCCATATTTCAAGTTTGGACATATCAAAGGCTCGTTAGATTAACAGCAGAATATTAATGTCAGCCAAATGATTAGTGTAAACAGGGACTAGAGATCTCTCTGAGCCTCCCTTCATATTCCCTTTCACTGGGATTCTAACCTAAACTAATCAAGGCATTTCAGACATGCCTGCAGGCTGAGCACTGTTTATTAGCCTTCCTGTTAATTGTAATAAACAGAAAAACAATTAGTGTAAAGGTTAGGTAAAAACAATATACAGCCTGTCAGAATTATATTATTGACTACAAAACTTGCAGGTATTCCTGAAAATCGAAAAAGCTCCATATTTATCAGTAGAAATGTAACCATCACTAATGTATCACTATACTATAGATTCACTCATATTCACTCAATATGACCTTCTACTGTCTCTGCCCCCTTATCCCATATCTTGAAGAGCAACCGTCACTCTCTCCCTCTCCATTTTTCAGTTCCTTTCTTAACTTGGGAAAGGTATTCTCCTCACATGCTCCAGGCAGTGACATGAGAAATCGTGTGTAATTCGGGCTATTTTAAAACAGCTAGTGGCTCGGTGTTGAGTTCTATGCTGTAGCTGGGCCTGTACAAGATTAATGACTTCAGACATGTCCAGAGCTATGAGAGAAACAATCCTGATTGTGTCAGAAAGGATATTACATTGACACATCCCACTGTTGACAGCTAATACGTTCTGCTTTAGAGGTGAGTGGCAGGACTTCTGTAGCCTGGAGAGATCTGAGACACTCTTCACAAAAGCATTTTGTTTTCATGCAAATGCAGAAGAACAAAATATGAATGCATCTTTATGCTATTTTGCGTATTCCTTACATAAATATTATTTAACTCCAAGACAATAGTCTTTTTGCTTGGCTAGGTACAGGTAACACTTGAGTAAATGAGGGACACAAAGTATATTGAAAGCAGGTGCTTCCACACAGGTGTGGTTCCTGAGTTAATTAATCAATTAACATCCCATCATGCTTAGGTTCATGTATAAAAATCCATAGGATAACAATGCAACCATCCAAAGGGCATGAATGGTGACTGAATGGTTTGATGAGCATGAAAACGATGTAAACCATATACAATGGCCATCTCAGTCACCAGATCTCAACCCAATTGAACATTTATGGTAGATTCTGGAGCAGCGCCTGAGACAGCGCTTTCCATCTCCATCAACAAAACACCAAATTATGAATTTCTCGTGGAAGAATGGTGTCGCATCCCTCCAATAGAGTTCCAGACACTTGTAGAATCTATGCCAAGGTGCAGTGAAGCAGTTCTGGTTATGGTGGCCCAACGCCCTATTAAGACATTTTGGCAGTAGACTTATAGTCATTGACTGGAGAAAGCAGAAAAGTAATAAGATGAAAAGGCATACAGTTGAAGTCGGAAGTTTTCATACACTTAGGTTGGAGTCATTAAAACTCGTTTTTCAACCACTCCACACATTTCTTGTTAACAAACTATGGTTTTGGCAAGTCGGTTTGGACATCTACTTTGTGCATGACACAAGTAATTTTTCCAACAATTGTTTACAGACAGATTATTTCACTTAGAATTCACTGTATCACAATTCCAGTGGGTCAGAAGTTTACATACACTAAGTTGAGTGTGCCTTTAAACAGCTTGGAAAATTCCAGAAAATGATGTCATGGCTTTAGAAGCTTCTGATAGGCTAATTGACATCATCTGAGTCAATTGGAGGTGTACCTGTGGATGTAGTTCAAGGCCTACCTTCAAACTCAGTGCCTCTTTGCTTGACATTATGGAATAATTAAAATAAATCAGCCAAGACCTCAGAAAAACAATTGTAGATCTCCACAAGTCTGGTTCATCCTTAGGAGCAATTTCCAAATGCCTGAAGGTACCACATTCATCTGTACAAACAATAGTACGCAAGTATAAACACCATGGGACCATGCAGCCGTCATACCGCTCAGGAAGGAGACGCGTTCTGTCTCCTAGAGATGAACGTACTTTGGTGCGAAAAGTGCCAATCAATCCCAGGACAACAGCAAAGGACTTTCTGAAGATGCTGGCGGAAACAGGTACAAAAGTATTTATATCCACAGTAAAACGAGTCCTATATCGACATAACCTGAAAGGCCGCTCAGCAAAGAAGAAGCCACTGCTCCAAAACCGCCATTAAAAAGCCAGACTAAGGTTTGCAACTGCACATGGGGACGAAGATCGTACTTTTTGGAGAAATGTCCTCTGGTCTGATGAAACAAAAATAGAACTGTTTGGCCATAATGACCACCGTAATATTTGGAGGAAAAAGCGGGTGGCTTGCAAGCCGAAGAACACCATCGCAAACGTGAAGCACGGGGGTGGCAGCATCATGCTGTGGGGGTGCTTTGCTGCAGGAGGGACTGGTGCACTTCACAAAATAGATGGCATCATGAGGAAGGAAAATGATGTGGATATTTTGAAGCAACATCTCAAGACATCAGTCAGGAAGTTAAAGCTTGGTCGCAAATGGGTCTTCCAAATGGACAAGCATACTAAATTGTGGCAAAATTGCTTAAGGACAACAAAGTCAAGGTATTGGAGAGGCCATCACAAAGCCCTGACCTCAATCCTATAGAAAATGCGTGGGCAGAACTGAAAAAGCATGTGCGAGCAAGGAGGCCTACAAACCTGACTCAGTTACACCAGCTCTGTCAGGAGGAATGGGCCAACATTCACCCAACTTATTGTGGGAAGCTTTTGGAAGGCCACCCGAAACGTTTGACCCAAGTTAAACAATTTAAAGGCAATGCTACCAAATACTAATTGTGTGGATGTAAACTTCTGACCCATTGGGAATGTGATGAAATAAATAAAAGCTGAAATAAATCATTCTCTCTACTATTATTCTGACATTTCACATTCTTAAAATAAAGTGGTGATCCTAACTGACCTAAGACAGGAATTTTTACTAGGATTAAATGTCAGGAATTGTTAAACACTGAGTTTAAATGTATTTGGCTAATGTGTATGTAAACTTCCGACTTCAACTGTACATGTATGTCAAAGCCTCCAAACCGCCTGCCACACAACTAATATAATACCAGGTTCCTTAACACTTTAATATGCAGTCAGTGTGTGGCACATCTAGCTGGGTTTCATTAGGATTCTCAAACTTCCATGAAGGGAGAGAAATTAGGAGGTACTTACTGCTATTATCCGGCAACCTGTCAATAGCTTTCATTCTGACACCTTAATACGTAACGATTATTGCGGCTAAAATATATATTTTCACCTTTGGCGAACTTACAGAGATGATTATAATACAAGGACTTGTGGAGAGCCGGTTTAAGAGGGCATCTGTGATGTCTCAACTGTCCTCCCATGCGAGTCATAACCTCGGTTTGAAAAGTGCATAAAGATCCTCAAAGGAAGTTTGAGGAGCTTTCTTGTCTGTGCTATTTTCTCATCAGAGCTCCTCATAGTACTGCTAGCAAATAAAGGGTTTCATCACAACCTATTTGTTTGTGAATTGTGTCATTAAATCCTGAATAAACTGTAGAGAAATTGCAGAGGAGCATTTTGTTTTGTGGCTATAGTGTGACACACACAAACACACACACACAAACACACACAAACACACACACACAAAGCAACAAGGGCATTTATATAATGAAGAGCATCATGTCCCAACTTGGCCTTATCTAATATGTCCTCTATAGCTGGACCTCTATAAGTGAAAATAAAACTGAATGGCCATCACGTTTTTGCTCGTTTCATAGTGTGGGACCAGCAGAGCCAAGAAAATAATATGATATTGAAAGAGCTTCTACTGTGAATCCCAGTAGTTTATTTGTAAAGCCAACCCAAAGGTCGTGGTAATGGACAGTATCTTTGTATAGAGCACCAATAGTTTATAATTTGAAGCCATGTCAGTCTTGACTTTGTGGTTGGCTACACAGTGCTCCTGGCATGGCCAATTTGTTCTGGTGGGTGAGCATGCACTGTGGCATGGTGGTTAGCAGGGCTCCCACAGTCCTCCCTGAGAACCAGGCAAGGCAGAATTGTACCAGGGCGGCCTTCAGATGTCTCTCACAATGCGAGTAGGGCTGCAGCTCAGAGGATGAGCACTGAAAAGAAGATTGATTTCCTTTGTGGTGTATGACAAGCCATGCGCCAGAGCACAACTCTCCAGTCACACAAAAGAGGCTCAGAAACAGATTCCTTTTTTCAGCTCAATCAGCCTTGGAGCAAGACTACAGGCTTGAGCATGCCAGGGGTATTTGTCTTTGTTGTCCCCAGGGCATCCAGGTGACTTGCTGCATTTGGGTTCCAGGCCTTGAGTTTCGATTGATGATGTTATTCAAAATGTTCCACTATGTCCACTACCACTTCATCTGTGAACTCTGAACTCTTTCCTTTTCTCTTTTCCTCTCAGACACTGCTTCGTGATGGAAGGAGGGAGAGTACGGTTAGCACCCTCTACCTGTCTGCATCCAACATTGAGACAGGCCAGCAGATCATCTGTCGAGCATCCAACAAGGCTGTGCCCAATGGCAAAGAGACCAGCGTCAATATCGACATCCAGCGTGAGTTTCCCCTCCTCTAAAGGCCTATACCCTGGTCCCTGACCAAACTTTAGTGTGCCCTAAGGTATTTCCCACCACAGTATCAGCCCCAGACTCGATGGATAATATGTTTGTTTGTGTCTCTCTATGTTTACCATTTCATCTTGAAAGACGAGGTATTTTGAGCACAAAGAGGCCATTTTGACAGTTGCAGTTATAAACATCTAGATTCATTTTAATAAGCTCTGATGCATATGCATAATTGGTATTGAGTTCACATTTCTTGTGTGGGTTGGTCCAGTGATGAAATATAAGTGAATGGGATTTTCTCTTTGCTCCAACAATCTCTCCGCAGCATTATGCACATATCCCTGGCTCTTTTATTTCCTCTCCTATGCCATCAATCTTTTTGACGAAAGCATGCACAATTCCCCTCAAAATAGGAAAAGTAAGCCCAGCGTGTAAAACACATTGAGCCTCAATTGTCAGAGAATCTTTTTTGATCAATAACTATTCACAGTAAGAGTGTGATTCTGAACAAAGGGATTTCGCATCAGCCCCCTTCAACACCATTAAGTACGACTAATAAAGCAGAAAATGCTATTTAGAGATCAATTACAAGTGACGGCTCCATTCTTTTCATTATATATGCCACAAGAGGCGCATTCCGGCTCATTGCCAGCATGCAGGCGAATGGAGGCGCCTGTGTAAAAATGATTAACAGTTGTTGGTGTTTGCAACCCTCACAGTTTGTTCTAATGTTTTTGTCATGCAAAGTGAGAGGAAGTGTGGTGTGATTGTGTGAAACGGAGAGTAGTGAGGAGCTACGGTATGATGGCTGTGACGGGCGTGTTCCCTCCACGCTCCACATCGGTGTTCCTGTGGGCGTGCCACAAGGCTTAACAAAGGGAAGGAGTAGTTGCTAACAAACAATCCCGAAAAACAATATTTGCAACTTGCAAAACTGGGGCTTCAACTACAGCTTTTCACAGGGTGAAGAACAAATGAGTGTGAGCAGGAGGAAATTGACTAGCGTTATGTTGCGTCCCACTCACCTCATATAACCCCAGGCCTCCCACTCACCTCTTGTGTAACCCCAGGCCTCCCACTCACCTTCTGCCACTCTCCACCTCCACCTCCACTCTTAGCCTGTGGACAGGTAGCGAGGCTGGTGTTCCCCGCCTCTGTCTCCGGTGCTCAAGATGAGATCCACACTAATTAAGCCACATGAGAAATAAAAGGCACTTTCATTTAACTTTGAGTCATTGGTGCTGGGTAGCAATTTAATAACTTCCAATGCTGACTCATTTGATTATAGGGTTCATGCCTCGGCAACTGGATATGAAACGCTCAAAATACATTGTTGAAAATATTATAATTCAGAGGAAAATGAGAGCGATGAGTACGTAGCCTATGTGCAATGAGGTATATATCAGGAGGTGGGTGATGAGAGTTTAAACACTTGATAGAGCTAATAGGATCAGATTCCAATGAGCATTTATAGACAGCCTAAAGACCACTTGAGTGTGAATACAAAGGGAGAATTTTCTAGTAGAGGAAGTGTGTAAAGATAGGTATCCATCTGGTTTCCCATTGCTACAAAATAAAACAGGTGTCGAATGAATAAATGATGGAGCGATTGGCAAGGTAGAGAGAGGTAGACATGCATCCTCTTTCCCCCCAAACCTCCCGTTGGCAGAGTAGTCACCACAGAGGCCCTGTTTTCCTCTCTACAGGGGACAGTGTAGGACAGGGGGCGGTAAATATTGATGAAAGACAGCTGTCTGCTCACAGAACAGGGAGGTACCTGGGGGAGTGGAATAGTGGAGGAAGGACCAAAATAAATACCACTCCAGCCCTTTCACACCGAAACAGACACACACAGAGATGTAAGACTAAGTCAAGCCATTTTTCAGGATGATGTAGATTGAACATGTTTCATTTTTTCGGCACCCACCAGATCAAGGCTAAGCTAAGAGAATACATGACCATGTTCGCTGCAACTCTTGAGGGTTGCTTTAAACCCTCCTCAAACCAAATATTCCATTGGGCCCCACACAACATTCAAACCTGAATGGGTAAGTTAATAGTACAGTTGCTGTGTTACAGAGACAAACTCTAGATGAAAAGCCTTGAATAGCATACATTACAGCCATTTGTGTAGTCCATGTCAAGTACTAAGAAAAAATCAATGTTCGTTGCCTTTGTATGTTGTATCTCATGTGTTATGACTGGTGAACAAGTGTTCCCAGGCCCCTTCAACAAGGCAGGCAGGATCGATGCCAGTTCCAGGTGAATGAAGGCTATTAGTCCTGCCTAGGCTTTCATGAAGGTTAGATACAGTACAGAGAGTCTTTGAGGTGCTGGTGAAGCAACGCTACACATCCACACACCATGTCCTATTTTAGTTAGTCTGCTCCCCCAGCATGGAATTCTCTCTGGAACGCTGAGTATTTAGGTTGTGCTTTTGATTTATTTATCTATTTCAATGGAGGCCACTTATTATGGGAGAGGAAAAGAGAGGATGGTTGTGGAGAGGGTTGATGGTGATCTTCTGTCACGCATACAGAGTGAAATTTGACAGTCATCAGAGGGCATGTGTCTGTGTGTGTTTCAGAGAGGGAAAGAAACTGAGAGCAAAATAAAGAGAGAGAGAGAGAGAGAGAGAGAGAGAGAGAGGAGAGAGGAGAGAGAGAGAGAGAGAGAGAGAGAGAGAGAGAGAGAGAGAGAGAGAGAGAGAGAGAGGTGATGTGATCTGATAAGAAGCTGTTATTCGCAACTTGCTTTGACCTTAACATTGACCTATGACTGACACAAAATAATCTAATGTTTCTCTATGTTTAAATGCTTTTAAGAAAGAGAGGAAAGATGTGTGTCTCCACGTATGAATTTGAATTATTGTCCAATACATTTTATGCACTATTTCCCTTTATCGTCACTTTAATGTGCTTGTGAATTACATTGGCCTCAGCATTTTCAGCTCAACACAAGTTCATACAGAGTTATCTGACCTGAAGGTTAAGTACATTAGCATTTGATGTGGTCCTCTGTAGCTCAATTGGTAGAGCACAGTGCTTGTAATGCCAGGGTAGTGGGTTCGATCCCCGGGACCACCCATACGTAAAAATGTATGCACACATGACTGTAAGTCGCTTTGGATAAAAGCGTCTGCTACATGGCATATTATTATTATTATTATTATAAACATGCACTTCCCACTGTTGCCAAATGGGATGGATTTAAAGCAGGAGGCAGGGTTAGTTCAGGACCATGGACAGAGTGCTGCCAGGAGGCAGGGTGAGTTCAGTACCATGGACAGAGGGCAGACTTTAGTTGTGCGAGTGAGTACATTAGCTCACCGTAATTATTTGATGGCAGAGTTAGCCCATGATTCTCTCACAACAACACCATGACTTTGGGTTTTCTTTATATTGTGCTCTGTAGACTTTTTCAGTGTTAAGGCAAAGCCTCAAAATCACCTCCTCCAACTCTGAACTGAAGACACCATATAGTAAGATTTGTGATAATATCTTCAGCCTGGCTGGCTATGTGTTTATCTGTCTGTTGAGCTGCATCCAACATGAGGGCACAGCATCCTACACACAAGGAGTGGGGTGAGGGTTAAGGCTACCATGTGTTTGCATTGGCTAGCAGCAGCAAAATAATACCATTTGTTGAGACTAATTAATAGAAAACATGCAGTGCAGATGTGTGGTGGGGGAGGATTTGTGTTTGTTACCCAGCTCCGCTTCATGCTCTCGGTGCCCAATCAAGCACATAATGACAAATTGATCTGGAAAAAAGAGAGGGAAACATGGGTTAGAATTAGTTTTGGGCGTAATGGTGTAATGATGTTATCATAAGGAATGCATTTGTGAGCAGTGGCTCAATCTGGATTCATTGTATCGTCACTTTCATGTCACGTTTTGAATGAAAATCAGTAGTATCTGTACCAACCCTCAACTAAGCTATGCGCACCTGCCTCCACTGTTTTCTCTTCAAACTTTTGAGAAAAAAAAAACATGTGTCAGATCTACTGTTGAACCTTGCAGGTATACTTGAAAATGTAAAAAGCCCAAACATATGGCCTACAGTCTGAATGGCAAAAACATATGTCTGCATTGTGTGAGTGGGTAAATAAATGCATGGTGTTGGCTTTGTGTGTTAGTCAAGCTGTGAACCTGCAGTTGTATGCCCCTGTGTGCTCGCCTCCAGTAATACACTTGGCCAACCAGCAGGCAGCATCCATCTCCATATTGCTAGGGATATGCCTCCGCTCTAGTAGCGAATAAACAGACTCCCCATCCTTCAGAACCAGCCGTTGCTCCTGGAGGCTTATCCTCATGGAGGAACAGCTGTCTACAATGACCCAAAGAGAGTGGAAATTGAGCTTTTAGAAAGGGAAGAAAGCAATTTACGTTGGCATCATCTCTGAGAAATCTAGAGAAGTTGGCTGATTGTTAAAAAATGCCATCTGCTCCTCTCTTTGAACTTCCGATCAAAAGCTGTCAGCAGTCTACACTGTCTTCCTCCTTTTTTAGCCATGCTGTTGTTGTCGCCACCACTGCCATCATCACCAGCTCTGCTTTTCCCAGCTCCCCTCCAACCCTCTCCATATCACCCTCCTGATGAATCTGAAGACATAACGGCCCTGCATATTGATGAACCTGTCGCATGAAGCCTCAAACGAGCTCACTCCCACTCATGCATTTATACATCAAAGTGACAAACAGACTTCTTTATTAAGTGGCTGTCTGTCTGCATGGGGGTCAGGAGGCGGCAAGTTGGTGACCAGAGATCCCATCCCAGAGTCCCTCTCATCGGGCGTTTTGGCAGCAATCACTCCCTTCCCCTGGTTCTCCAAGGACAGAGCTATCCAAGCAGAAGAGCTAAGTCGCTCACCTTATTATTTACAAAAGACATAATGGCAATATGCCACAATGTCTCATAAGTGAGAGACACTCGGGTGCTTCTCTCATTCAGGGAGGGTCAGTCTTCACAGGCTGATTGACATGAAAGAACTCCCTGGCCCAATTGCAAA